AAAAAAAAAAAAAAAAAAAAAAAAAAGAGAACAAAACTGGTTTTATAAAATTAACAGGAGATCTTTCTAGTATGGGATCTTCTTGCCTTTATGACATTCTGGGATCAAACAGAAAAGAAAAGGTGACAAACTCACGATGATGGGATAAACAGGTTTTAAGAGTCAAGTACACAGGGGATATCAGACAAATGCAGTTTTCTTAGAAAGAGTAACACCACCAGTCACTGATTAGCATCTCCAAAGCGTCAGCTAAATAACACACATTCAATCAACTGTTAAGGATTCAAGTCAGTTGTAAAATCAGTGCTACAATATCAAAGAAGCCGCATGTGGCTTTCGTGGGCAATACTCTAACCTGGGTCCGAGCTGGTCAGGACATTCCTTGCGCTTTCTTGTCTCTGCCCTGGATGGGTCAGAGGTATTTTCTCCCATCCCACTCATCTTGAACACATATCAGCAACTAAAACAGAAAACAAGGGGGAAAAAGTGAAGAGCTGATGATCAAGTGGCTGATTAATTTATCAACAATGAGAAAACTTTGTCTTCAATCAGAAATCTACAATAGTTCAGACAGATGTGCATGTATAACTTCTAACAAAAAGGCTGCATTTTTTTTACCTTGTTAAAAGGTTAAGCAAACGTAAAGGTTACCATTTAAAAAAACAAACAAGCCTACTTCACTGGGCCTATACTCTTTAACCAGGAGTTGTATTTCATCAGACTGTAAACCACAATCTGCTAGCCCTGGGTTTCTGCTGCAGCCTCCAGTTTCAGGAGTGATCTTGCACCATGTGGAAACTACAGGTGTTGTAAGGGGCTCCTCCCAGTCTCTGTTTTGGGTTGGCCAATGTGAGGTCTGTGCTGCAATAGCTCACCCATGACAGACATCCCCGGGAAGAGGCAGTGCCCCACTAAGTTGAATGTTTCCAAATCCAACCAGGTACATACGACACCCCTCTACGCCTAGGCCCACACAAGGCCACCTCCTAAGGAATGACCCTTCAACAGGAGGTTCCTGCCTCACTGCCCCTCCCTCAGTGCTGTCTCCAGGGCAGCTCACCTACCTGAGCACACCTCCCAGACACAGTTTCCTCTCACATCCCTCCCCCCTTCCTTCCCTCCCC